TGCCGCCAATGCTTCGAGACAGGCCACACCACACCACTCCCAGCAGGCCCGCCACAGGCACAGCCACCATCTTCACATACACACAGGCCACACCGGCACCGTCCGAGGAGTCCACAGAGGCCACATTACCCACACTGCCCGCATCATCCAAGGATACAGCCTCAGAACACCGACGTGCACGCTTCTGTAAAGGGATCGAAAGAGCAGAACTACAGTCGCCAACACACACAGACACTGCAGGCACTTCCTCCCGCCGAAGCCCCCCTTCAATACAACAGGACCCGCATCCCCGGGAACTGGTACCATATCCACAGACGCGGGCGGGACATGGACATCCACTGGGACATCTACCACACACAGTGCAGGCGACGGCCCACCAGTCTTACACTCCGGCGCAATAACTACCTCCGGGACCACAGAAGGTAACAAACTGCATGTAGAAGGCATAGTAACCGCCTCAACAGGCAAAGCAGCAGACAATCAATCAGGCGCCTCAGGCACAGCACCCACTCCATCCTCAGTAGCGTCCGAAGTCAACAGGGGTGGAAAGTCCTCCTCACGAAAAACATGCACCCTGCCAGTTGCTCCAACGTCGCACGCTGCAGCAAGATGACCCACATTACCACACCTGTAACAGGTGCATGGTTGCCCATGATACTGGCAACAGAGCGTGTAACCCAGCACGGACACAGAGGACGGAACACTACTCTTTAGAGACATGGTCAGGGTGCGGGAACCGTCAAGCATCCCAGTACAGTGCCATGCAAGTACCTTGTCCCAACGAATGCTTAGCACAGTACCAAACCGTCCAAACACAGCAGTTAGGAGAGCGCCGTTAAACTCGAAGGGGGCACCACGCATCGACATATACGTCAAGGCAACACTGAGGTTGACTACCATAACAGAACCGGCGGCATCAGGGAGAGGGTAAACACGCCAGTCACACCGCCCCAGAAACGCCTGAAATGCAGCCTGATGGCGAAACTTGACCACAGCGCGGTTCCCCTGCAGCAGCTGGACGCCCACCAATTCCGACAACTGCACATGGAGAACATCCACCAGGGCAACACCAACCAACAAGTGGTCCACTGGCACCGTAAAAGCCAGACCAGCTGACGAGGTCCTCTTCAATGGAGGCCGGTAAGACCCCATGTCTCCTCAATAGGCGCACCACGCCCACCCAGGGGGACAACACCCTCACAGCCGTCACAGACACCCTCCTCACACAGCCACTAGGGTAGAACTCCAACAGCACTCTCATGTTTTGTTTACAAGATCTGTGGTGTACGTGCCGACGCTTCTGGCCAATGTTTTGGTTCTACTTCTGATTTTATTTAACAGTAGCAAGGGAGTCAAACTGCACTTCTTGTTGTTGGAAATTATATTCAGTCCTAGTGAACACTTTTTTATTAAGTTTAAACACTAGACTGTTGTTTAAAAAGAGATGAGATATATAAATATACGTCTTGTTGGATGACATCAAAGAATAACCCATTCTCCTTTTCTTTAATGGGTAACTTATGTTATTTTGTGTGTCGAATTTCCGACAGTATGGTAGCGAGATGGGGCGAGGGGAGTGAAGACCCATGTATTTTCAGAATTTACTTTATATATATATGGAAATATTTATCTATTCAACACCCAAGCATGCTCCCTTCCTCCAACAACATCTTCCATGTCAAGGTTGCAGGCTGAGGGGAAGTCGTGGGAGACTATTTATTAATATTGGGGTCAAAGAAGATTTTAAATAACAAACCAACACTCCTTTCCAATAACGTTGGTCAGCTTTCAGCCTCTGATTCTGCTATTGAGTTCAATAGGTTCTTCTCTTCCATTGGGTCATCCCTTGCAAATGATATTCCATCTTCCTGTACTGATGTTAAGGACTATCTTACAGGTAACTATCCACAGTCTCTGTACCTAAAGCCTACTAGTTCCACTGATGTCAATGAAATAATCCTTTCCCTTAAAACCAAGTCTAGTGCCCTCGAGGAGATACCAACTTTAATTTACAAAAAAGCCTCCAGATCTCTAGCCCCTGCTATTGCATTGCTCTTCAACAAGTCACTTGAACTCCAAACCTTTCCTGACATTCTAAAAAAAGCAAGAGTAACCCCTGTCTACAAATGTGGTGATCTCACTGATGTTAACAACTACAGACCTATATCAATCCTGCCTAACTTGTCAAAAATATTCGAAAAGCTAACCTACAAGCAGCTTTACTCTTTTCTAGCCAAACACAATATACTTAGCTCTTGTCAATATGGCTTCAGACCCAAAAAAAGCACTAACGAAGCACTTATTAGTATGATTAACTTAATTCACGCAGCTCTTGATAAAAAGGAGTTTCCTGTTGGGTTATTTGTGGACCTGCGTAAGGCTTTTGACACTGTCAACCATCAAAACCTTCTTCTTAAATTACATCATTATGGAGTCAGAGGACACTCCCTGCAATACCTCAAATCTTATCTTACTGACAGGCTCCAGTATGTTTCTGTGAATAATACAATTTCTCCCACCCTACCCATCAACATTGGTGTTCCTCAGGGCAGCATACTTGGCCCTCTCCTCTTTCTCATCTACATTAATGACCTTCCAAATGCCTCCCAACACCTCAAACCAATTCTATTTGCTGACGACACAACCTTCATTTACTCCAGTCCTGACCCCCTTGCTCTAAATGCCACAGTAAATACTGAGCTAGAGAAAGTCCATCTTTGGCTAACTGCCAACAAACTCACCCTTAACATTGACAAAACGTTTTATATTCTGTTTGGCAATAAATCCTCTAATCAGATAAATCTCAAAATAAACAATACCCAAATTTGTAACAAATTAGATGGCAAATTCCTTGGCGTTCTCATCGACCACAAGCTGAATTTCCAGGGACACATTCTAAATATATAAAAAAAAGTTTCAAAAACTGTTGGCATTCTTTCTAAGATCAGATATTATGTACCCCGCCCTGCCCTGGTTACTCTCTATTACTCCCTCATCTATCCATACCTCAACTATGGTATTTGTGCTTGGGGTTCTACTACCCAAAATCATTTACGTCCTCTCATTACCCAACACAAAGCTGCTATTAGGACAATAACCAACTCTGGCCCCAGACATCACTCGGTACCCCTACTCAAATCTCTGAATATGTTAGACATTAAGTCACTGCACATTCTCTCTTGTGTATTATACATATATAAAACGCTGAACTGTAATGCCAATCCTGACCTCAAAAGCTTCATTGAAGGTTGTAACAGAACCCATGAGCACCACACCAGGAATAAATACAGTTTTGATATTCCTAGAGTACGACTTAATCAAACTAGAAATGCTCTACAAATCAAGGGACCCAGAATGTGGAATGACCTTCCCAACCATGTTAAAGACTGTACCTCTCTCAACCAGTTTAAGATAAAAACTAAACACTACCTAATAAATTCCCTGTAACCTACCTCACTCCTTTATTGTCAACCCATGTCTGTTATTTTATTTTATTATTATTATTTTTTTTTAATCAACACTGTTTGTCAACCTATTGTATTTTTGCTGCTTTTTCAGTCATGTTCCCCCTTTTTTTTATCTTTATTTGTATTTGTTTTCAAAACTTTTTATTCTTTATGCTCAATTAGTATTAAGTTCTAGATATTAATGTTTTTCTTGCCCAAAACGCATTGCGTAATAGTGGCTTTAGGCATTGTATGTACTAGCTCTATCTATCCATTAATGTAACATCACTTGTATGTATGTACCTTACCTGAATAAACATATTTATTTATTTATTTACTAGATTAACAAAACTGATATTACCCCCCTTTCCCTCCACAAGAACCCGTTTCAAGGAAGGAGGCTCAGAATGCAGGCCATGACAGGGGGGATTGAGTAGACTGGATATTTCTCTGCATGTCAAGCAGTTAGCTATATTGCAGATGCAATAATTCTCTATGACTGAGCCCTCAGTATTATAATTGTGTATACTTCTTATACAAATATCAACCTGTCTCTATTTTTGCGTTGTGATTGTGTCAGGACGGCAATATTCATCGTGTGAACTCTTCGACAGTCACTGGAGACATTCCGGTTTGTTTTCAGGCATTACTGCAGCTGATTGATGAAGATTAAGGCACCCAAGGCACGGGCATGAACAGCCCGTAAGTGGCAGATTTTTTGGAGTCAGTGTAATGTTTGGTCATGAATCTCGTGGCATTGACCGACACATTTATATAGAGGTGATAATGTGGTCAACTTCAAGACATTTTGGTGTGGCTGGCGCAGCTAAGTGAACAGCATGTTCTGGTGGTTGGAAAATGGATGGTACCTAATACAAAAACCTCCGTGTTGATACAGTCCCCGTGGTGTAGTGGTAAGACACTCGCCTGGCGTTCCGCGAGCGCTATGTCATGGGTTCGTATCCTGGCCGGGGAGGATTTACTGGGCGCAATTCCTTAACTGTAGCCTCTGTTTAACGCAACAGTAAAATGTGTACTTAGATGAAAAAACGATTCTTCGCGGCAGGGGATCGTATTCCAGGGACTTGCCCGAAACGCTACGCGTACTAGTGGCTGTACAAGAATGTAACAACTCTTGTATATATCTCAAAAAAAAAAAAAAAAACTTTCACAGCTTTTATTGCCCTGTTTTGACTTTATATTTATTGTTCTAGTATGGTTTTACTTTGCTTAATTTATATTTTTCAGTAACATCAGCCATTTATATACGTTTCTTCGATCTCATTTCATTATAACTGAGTAATGGCTACTGCTAAGTAAGATATTACAGCTGATCACTGATAAATTATTCTAAGATAAATATATTTATTTGGCAGCTTTCTTACAGTTGCAAGATTAGCTACAGACTAAGTTACAGTCAGCCAGAAGGATCCAACACACTAAATAAACAATAATTATATATCCAACAAGAAGTACTTTCACTTATTTGTTGTAACATTGATGTATGTGTGTGTGGTGTAGATTGTAATGACCTCTCTGCCCTCCCTTCCCCAGAAGGCCAGACGGTGCCCCTCGCCAACGCCTCCCTCACCATCCTGCCTCACGAGGTGGACCTGCAGGTGGGCGACCACTTCACCCTCAACCTCACCCTCAGGTGACTCCTGCCTCACCTTGCCTCAACTTATACTTTTCTACATTTTGACAGATGTTTAATTCCATCCTATCTGTGTCTATTGCTATATATTCTTCCTTCAATATTTCATACTTTGTTCCTCTTAATCAAATCATTAAAAATCATCTCAAGATAACCTCTTGACTGTTGAGGTCTATGAACTGTGATAATATAGTCTGTATAACGCGCCAAACACACCACGAAGCTACGGCGTTGATACAACCTTTGAACAAGTTGTAACAAGGTAACGATAGGGGCCGTTACATTGTGTGTTTGAAAGGAACAATGTATTTAAATGAGGTAAATTCCTAAGAGCTCATTGGTCCTCCTAACTGTTGGGTCTACACCCATGAACTGTGATAATACAATAAACAGTATACAACTGTGTAGTTACACGAGGTAAACTCTCAGAGCTGAGTGGAGTGACTGTGTTGTGTTGTTGTTGTTGTTACAGCGGGGAGTTCGAGGGCTGCGTCAACGTGAGTTTCCAGCAGACGAAGGAGGTGGTGGACCTCCCGCCGCCACTGCTGCTGTGTGACGGCTCCCAGGGTGACTGGTGGGACGTCGTGATCAACACCACCTATAACGGCAAGGCCACTCTCACCGCTCAAGTCGACCCTCCTGGGGTAGTTGAGTAAGTCCATCACTCATGTTGTCAGAATATCGCCCATCCTGAGATCTTTGTTATAACAGTAAGAATCAAGAGAAAGCACTGTGCTAGGGGGCTATACTAAGTAAGTCACAGATGTGTCAAAATTATAGTAACACATATGGATGTCAACTGGTCCCACTGATGTTGTCTTTTCAATGGTGCTGCAATTTAGCGCTCAGAGCGCTTGTAGGCTCCGAGGAGTTGCACTTTCACTTTGAATGTCGTGTTCTCTGGCAACGCCTCAATAGCTCGGAGTGTCAGGAGAACCCGGAGTGTAAAGTGGTTTGCTGGCAGCTGTGTGGCAACAGCTTGCCAACAGGAGAGGAGATGGGTCCGTGCGACCGTGGTAATCCTGATCCTGTGTGTGTGTGGATGAGAGAAGTGAGGATGTTGTTGTTTTTGATTCAGCTATTCAGAACAAAAGTTCCAAGTAGCGCGGGCTATAGTGAGCCCGTAGGAAGAGAGGAAGGTACGGGCACATATATAAGGTATATGAGGTGATATATAAGGTTAGAATGAGGTAAGAAAAAAAGGTAAGAGTAAGATTAGAAATTATTGTGACATACTGTTGTAACATTAAGTAACTGATGAGAAGTTTGTGGATATTCAACCTATCCTACTGAAATTATTGTATTTATGTAACTATGTGGTCGATCGTACCAATATGTAGTAATGGAGCCACTTTTTTTTTATATTTTTTTTATAATAAGTCTGGAAATATAAAGCTAAAACCAAACTTATTCCTTAGTTTAGTATAGCACATACGAACTATATTAGGCCTCAGATGGCGTGTATTAGGCTTTAGACGGTTAGGTTATGTTAGCTAAGGTTTTATTAGCAACATAAATACAACAAATTTTCCAGTTTGTCCAAATTTAATAATACAAGAGTCTACCTTCTATTGGTCAATCACGACATATTTGTACTATCACATAGTTACTATAAGTACTTTCATTGAAGGAGGCTGGGATGGGTTACTGCAGGTCAGCGCGGACGCTCTCGCCGCCTGATACAACAGCGGCCTAATTGCTTACAAGCAAATGCTGAGTTTCCCACACAGCCCCACACCACCTTGCCCTCCTCCCGACAGGTCAAGAGATGCGTTCGCCCTGGTGTCAGTAATGACCAACCCGAGTATCGACGTGGCGGCTGACGTGCTGGGCTGGCTGTACACCATCGCCTGGGACGTCTCCTTCCTCCCGCAGATCTACCGCAACTGGCACAGGAAGAGGTACGTCGATACAAACCTGAGCTGCCTCGTATGAGTCAATAAACCTTCTGAAGTTTGGATCGCTACAGGGTGACTGAGAAATACTTTCGCGGTCTTCCACGCTAGAATATCAGACGATACAATGTTAGGAATTATTTGGATTATTATTCCCCTGCTTCTCCACTTATTCTCTACTTAGCCTGCCAGCCCATTCACTGCCCTCATCCCTCCCTTGTCAGCCTAATCACTCCCTCCATCCCTGTTCAACCACTTGGGCTGGATGGTAGAGCGACGGTCTCGCTTCACCTAGGTCGGCGTTCAATCCCCGACCGTCCAAGTGGTAGCACACAATTCCTCCTCCTTCCCCCCGGTCACGTCCCAAATCCTTATCTTGATCCCTTCCCAGTGCTATATAGTTGTAATAGCTTGGCACTATTCCCTGATAATTTCCTCCCCCCCCCTTCCCACCACCTCTCCCCTGTCAGACCACATAATCTTCTCTATGCTCGCTATGCTAACCCCAGAGTGTTCCAGTAACGCTATGCTAACCCCAAAGTGTTCCAGTAACGCTATGCTAACCCCAAAGTGTTCCAGTAACGCTATGCTAACCCCAAAGTGTTCCAGTAACGCTATGCTAACCCCAGAGTGTTCCAGTAATGCTATGCTGATCCCAAAGTGTTCCAGTAATAGTATGCTGATCCCAGAGTGTTCCAATAATACTATGCTAACCCCACAGTGTTCCAGTAACGCTATGCTAACCCCAGAGTGTTCCAGTAATGCTATGCTGATCCCAAAGTGTTCCAGTAATAGTATGCTGATCCCAGAGTGTTCCAATAATACTATGCTGATCCCAAAGTGTTCCAGTAACGCTATGCTAACCCCAGAGTGTTCCAGTAATGCTATGTTGATCCCAGAGTGTTCCAGTAACGCTATGCTGATCCCAGAGTGTTCCATTAACGCTATGCTAACCCCAGAGTGTTCCAGTAACGCTATGCTAACCTCACAGTGTTCGATTAACGCTATGCTAACCCCACAGTGTTCCAGTAATACTATGCTAACCCCACTGTGTTCCAGTAACGCTATGCTAACCCCAAAGTGTTCCAGTAATACTATGCTAACCCCACAGTGTTCCAGTAATACTATGCTAACCCCACAGTGTTCCAGTAATACTATGCTAACCCCACAGTGTTCCAGTAATACTATGCTAACCCCACAGTGTTCCAGTAATACTATGCTAACCCCACAGTGTTCCAGTAATACTATGCTAACCCCACAGTGTTCCAGTAATACTATGCTAACCCCACAGTGTTCCAGTAATACTATGCTAACCCCACAGTGTTCCAGTAATACTATGCTAACCCCACAGTGTTCCAGTAATACTATGCTAACCCCACTGTGTTCCAGTAACGCTATGCTAACCCCACAGTGTTCCAGTAATACTATGCTAACCCCACAGTGTTCCAGTAATACTATGCTAACCCCACAGTGTTCCAGTAATACTATGCTAACCCCACAGTGTTCCAGTAATACTATGCTAACCCCACAGTGTTCCAGTAATACTATGCTAACCCCACTGTGTTCCATTAACGCTATGCTAACCCCAAAGTGTTCCAGTAACGCTATGCTAACCTCACAGTGTTCGATTAACGCTATGCTAACCCCAAAGTGTTCCAGTAATACTATGCTAACCCCACAGTGTTCCAGTAATACTATGCTAACCCCACTGTGTTCCAGTAACGCTATGCTAACCCCACAGTGTTCCAGTAACGCTATGCTAACCCCACAGTGTTCCAGTAACGCTATGCTAACCCCACAGTGTTCCAGTAACGCTATGCTAACCCCACAGTGTTCCAGTAACGCTATGCTAACCCCAAAGTGTTCCAGTAACGCTATGCTAACCTCACAGTGTTCGATTAACGCTATGCTAACCCCACAGTGTTCCAGTAACGCTATGCTAACCCCAAAGTGTTCCAGTAATACTATGCTAACCCCACTGTGTTCCATTAACGCTATGCTAACCCCACAGTGTTCCAGTAACGCTATGCTAACCCCAAAGTGTTCCAGTAATACTATGCTATCCATCATGCTATAACCAGGACCTAGATTCACGAAGCTCCATGTATTTCTTCGTAAGTATGTGTGCTACGAAGGTTCCTAAGTACCGGCTAAGAACGCGCCAAAGGGCGATTCAGAAAAGTAAACTTACGAAGATTTTTAAGTAGTTCACTTAGGTCTCGCTAGATGTCACTAGGCTTTTAGTTTGGCCAATCAGAGAGAAGGTAACATTTTTCATCTTACAGCTGTAGCCAATCACGACGCTGGCATATCGGAGCTTATCCGTGACCACTTGCTACTTATTTACGTCGAATTTTCTTATAAAATTAGTACATTTCGAAGTAAAACTATGTTTTTTCAACTTGTACAGTCAGCACCGACATTGTAGTATACAAATGTTACATTTTTTGTTTACTTACGTAATTCTAAGAGATAGTGTATGGCTTCCCTTGTCGCTCCCAAGATTTGAGAAGCGATGATATTTATTTACGTATATATTTACCTAAATTTACCCAAGGGCCACTATCTAGTGGCCTAGACAAGGACAAAAAACTGGGGGCTTGTTAAGTCCCGCCAATTGTCCTAATGATATTTTCTAGCTGGATTTTGGCATTTACGGCTTCAGCGGGTAGGCGGTTCCATGGGTTTATTTATTTATTTATTTATTTATTTATTTATTTATATACAAGAAGGTACAATGGGTTTGTGAGGATACATAGCATGGTATTTACATTCTTGTAGAGCCACTAGTACGCGCAGCGTTTCGGGCAGGTCCTTAATCTAACAGATAATTTTAAGTAGGTAAATTCTAGCAGAATTTATAAAATGATAGGTACATTGCAAGAAAAAAATGAGATGAGAGAGATTAGTAGGTATATTAAAGCACATCGGTAGCTCTGATTGATTGCATTGAACAGCTTGATTGGTAATTTAACAAAGATTAATAGGCACAATACAGCATATTGATAGCACATATAAGAAGACAGCAATGATCACAATGGTAAAGTTGTTTGGATTAGGTACATAAAGATTGGGAGATTGGGTAGCACTAGATACAGTGCAATTTTAAAGCACAAGGTAGGAAACTATGAAGATGAAATTAGGTACAGTACTTTTTAGTTTTGTTTTTGAATGAGGTAAAAGGTGGACAGCTTTTCAATTCATTAGGGAGTGAGTTCCATAGACTAGGTCCCGTTATTTGTATAGAGTGTTTATACAGATTAAGTTTGACTCTGGGAATATCAGAGATATTTATTTCTGGTGTAGTGATAATGGGTCCTATTGCATCTGTCCAGGGAGAGTTTCAGAGCAGGGTTTGCATTTAAGAACAGGCCTTTGTAAATGTAATTGACACAAGAGAATGTGTGGAGTGAGTTTATGTTTAGCATGTTTAGGGATTTAAACAAGGGGGCTGAGTTGTCTGAAAGCAGGGTTTGTTATTATTCTGATAGCAGATTTTTGCTGGGTGATGATGGACTTGAGATGGTTTGTAGTGGTTGAACCCCATGCACAGATACCATAATTAAGATAGGGATAGATTAGTGCATAATATAGTGAGATGAAAGCAGAGTTAGGTACATAATATCTGATTTTGAAGAGTATACCAACTGTTTTAGAGACTTTCTTAGTTATGTGTTTTATGTGGGTGCTGAAGTTGAGTCTCTTGTCTAGGAATAAGCCAAGAAACTTTCCATTATCTTTATTACTGATGTTAACATTGTCTAATCATTTGTCATTGATTTGAAATCATTTGTTGATTTGCTTCCAAATAAGATGTAGTAGGTCTTTTTCTATGTGTAGTGTTAGTTTGTTGGTTGACATCCATAAGTGGACTTTTTTTTTAATTCATTATTTACAACATTATTTAGTGTGTGTGGGTTGGGGTTTTTATAACCCTCTGGGTGAAAAAAATATCTGTTTTCAGTCCTACTTGAGAGGACATACTCGCCAACATTATATCTGTGATTGCCCTGTTATCAGTGACTCCAGACCAAATGGTATGAGGTACTTTGAGCTCTGTAATTGCTTCATACACTCAGGAATATTGGAAGATATATTCTTGTGTTGTACCCAGATTTTGCTAGTGGGGGCTAATAGATCAGCCGTACATTTCTTATTCTCTCCTGATTCCATGTATGACTGGCCGTCCTGTGAGGTGGGGATGTTGGATGAGCTTGTAGCTAGTTTATGATCTACACTGTAATCTTTCATATAGAATAGGGTAGCAGCACATTGCTGTGTATACCTAAGCTTGTCAATAAAAAGAAATCAGTAATAAAGGTTTTAAATTATAGCTTGTATTATTATTATTACCAGTATTATCCTTATTAAATCATAAATGTTAACCATGGATCATTAAGATCTCATATTGATATGTAATGTTAGTACTGTAGTTCATACAGTCATAATTATAGGTTTAAGTATTCAATGAGAGAAGTTTTTGAAGTTTTAACCCTTCTTACCTAACATAATTTGTGCAACACATTTTTCTTTTATGTCTCACCCAGATTTAATTTCAAAATAAAACCAAACAAAATAAATTAAAAATGGGTATGTATAGCTAAGGTACACCCCTAGCTATACTTATTGTTAGGTGAACAGGGGCATTTGGTGATAGTAAATGCTCCCACCAGCCACCTTCTCTCATATTTCATGTTCACCAGTGTTTATTTACTTAATAACTACTGGTATAATATCTTGCTATTATAAAACTAATTCTAATATCATAAAAGACATATTTACTGCAAGTTTCAAGCAGAGAATGCATATATAACTAACACGAAGGACGCCTCTTGACGAAATTCTCCAGCTAAAATCTTTTGTTTATAATAAAATCGATCCTCCGTGTTGTGTAGTAGAGAAAAATTGAGTTATATCCAGTTTACGTAAAGCTACGAGTGGTCGACAGCACTCTTAGCGAGACGGAGCATACTTACGAAGATTTTCCTTCTTAAATGCGTACCTGAATACCGACGTAGCCGCTACGAAGGTGCTAAGAAGAAAAACATTCGTAAGTACCTTCGTGAATCTGGCCCCTGTGATCATTCCTACTCTGCCTTAGACAATGTTAACAATGGTTAACGAAGCGCAACTCTTAGCATTAGACCAAATAAAACTGTTCAAATGAACTTTGGAGAGTTAATTTTTCAAATTAACTTTCCAAACTAGAATTTTTTACTTTCGCTGACTGCTACTGAAGCTCAGAGGAATTAGTGACCCACGTCCCCGCCATATAAATTGTCATACACACTTCCCTGAAAATAAACATTTCATTCACTTGGGCTCTAGTAGACTCGAACCCTGGACCCCCACGTGTGTGAGACCGAAGCTCTATCGGCTGGGCTGTGAGTAGTCTTAATAAGGAAAGTTTCTAAGAAAGGACAACTCACAACCCTGTGTGAATGTTACTGTGTGGATACTGTGAGGCTGTGTGTGTTACTGTATGGATACCGTGAGGCCATATGGATACTGTGAGGCCATATGGATACTGTGAGGCCATATGGATACTGTGCGGCCATATGGATACTGTGAGGTCATATGGATACTGTGAGGCTGTATATGTTGCAGTGTGATGGGCCTCAGTTTTGACTTCCTCACCCTCAACTTTATCGGGTTCTCCTCTTACTTCATCTTCAACATGGGACTCTTTTGGATCGACGAAATTCAGGTAAAGATTCTAGGAATTTGAGTTCAGTAATATTATATTGTCATCTTGCGATTAAGAACTCACCAGTAAACATTTAGTTTAATTATAATTTAATATTTAATTCTATGTTGACAAAAAATGCTTATTATTTTAAGTTAATTGCACTTTATATTGCATTGTTTCACTCAACAACGTGGTATACTAATGATTCTTGAGAGGAATAATTTGGTGCACTTGGCGACCAATTTCAAATTACATTATATTAATTGGTACATTACAAATGGGAATGTGTAGCAGGATGGACCTTCAGGAGGTGTACATACTGTGCATTGGTACATCTACAAGGCTCAGGACATATTGGACATTAATACACCTTCAGGCTGGGTACATGTTACACACTGATACACCCAAAGACTGAGTACATGTAGCACATTAATACACACTCAGGCTGAGTACATGTTACACACTGATACACCCAAAGACTGAGTACATGTTGCACATTAATATACCCACAGGCTGAGTACTTCCTGCGTCACCCCAGAAGTGTACTGCACGTGAGGTTGAATGACGTGATCTTCCCCCTGTACGCCGTGTTGTGTACAGCTGTACAGATTATACAGTGCTTCTTCCTGCAGGTGAGCCACAGCTGGGGTCTGCCTCTCTCTCTTACCCTGGCTGACATTCTCTTGTATTTATTCTTCTGTGAGCGCGCGTGCACACACACAGAAACACACACATACACCAGCACAAGCACGCACTCACGTGTGGACACACACATACACCAGCACAAGCACGCACTCACGTGTGGACACACACATACACCAGCACAAGCACGCACTCACGTGTGGACACACACGTGTATGTGTATGCGGTGTATGTATGTATCAGTGTATGCGGCCCCAGCATGGAGCCCGTACCTTGTCAAGCACAAGACGAAGCTGGAAAAAGTCCAAAGGTATGCTACTAGACTAGTCCCAGAACTAAGAGGCATGAGTTATGAGGAAAGGCTGCGGGAAATGCACCTCACGACACTGGAAGACAGAAGAGTAAGGGGGGACATGATCACAACCTACAAAATCCTCAGGGGAATCGACCGGGTAAACAAGGATGAACTATTCAACACTGGTGGGACGCGAACAAGGGGACACAGGTGGAAGCTGAGTACCCAAATGAGCCACAGAGACGTTAGAAAGAACTTTTTCAGTGTCAGAGTAGTTAGTAAATGGAATGCATTAGGAAGTGATGTGGTGGAGGCTGACTCCATACACAGTTTCAAATGTAGATATGATAGAGCCCAATAGGCTCAGGAATCTGTACACCAGTTGATTGACGGTTGAGAGGCGGGACCAAAGAGCCAGAGCTCAACCCCCGCAAGCACAATTAGGTGAGTACACATACACCAGCACAAGCACGCACTCACGTGTGGACACACACATACACCAGCACAAGCACGCACTCACGTGTGGACACACACATACTAGACATATGAGAAAGATAAAAATCGAACCCCCTTAAGTGTGACTTGTAATGGTGTTTACCAAATGACGAAAGTGCTTAGGAATGCCAGGAAACTGCTGAGTGATGAGGATGGGAAACGTTGGTCATGAAGACGAGATCTCTCAAAGGAAGACACAGAAAAGCTGAAATTAAACCTCTATGTAGGGAAGGGAATTATCAGGAGAGAGTGCTAAGCCATTGAGACTATATAGCACTTGGAAGGGGTCAGGATAAGGATTTGGGATGGGACGGGCGGAAGGAATGGTGTTCAACCACTTGGACGGTCGGGGATTAAACGCCGACCTGCATGAAGCGAGACCGTCGCTCTACCGTCCAGTTCAAGTGGTTGGGCAGCGAAACGTCTAAATGGACACAGAAATGAAGATGACTTTTTTTCTACCGGGTGATACAGACTGGGAAGCCTGTGAAATGTTACATAAAAACAAAGCAACAACATTATAATAGGAAGGGGAAGTAAAGAACAAAGGGAAAGGGAAAATGTTCCTGAAAATTGTATATATCAACATAGACGGAGTGATATAAAAAATACTAGAGCGAAATTATATAATTCAACTTAAGGTACCAGATATTGTCACTAACAGAAACGAAACTTGAAGAAAATATTTTAAATGAGGTCGTATTCCCAATTAGCTACTCAGTTTGGAGAGTAGCATGTATTTATGTATCAACATTCATGATGATACATGAATGTCTCCAGACTGAGGTTTAGAAATCTGACTGTACAAATTTCCTTTGTTCTTGCTTCGTAGGCCTCCCAGTCTATTGCTTTTAAGTTGAAGTCCCCCAGTACCAACAATCTTAATTTATCTTTATGTACTTTTACTATAATCTCTCTCATGTCCATTATGAGGTCCTCTCATTTGTCATCCAGTTCTTCCATTATCCATGTGTTGCTTGCTGGCGGCCTGTAGACATTTACGATTATCAGTTTATCACCCTGTGTAACACCACTATATACATAAACTCTACACAGGATCAATTAAAATACGCTGCCACCATCTGCCTTGACCATTGAGACTATATCAAGCAACGAGGCAAGAAACATTGCTTGACTTAGAGAGTCCTCTTTCTTTAAAAGTCAATATTTATGGGACGGTTGTTAGCCAATTATATCCAGAAGCTAAGGGGATTCAACAATTGATACAGAGAGTATACATTTAACATGAATTTATTAAGAACAATTTATTCTATTCACTACTATAAAATCCTACTTTATCACTGGCAATACTGGCAATTGTTACGGGATCCAGACATGGAAACGTATCAAAGATCACACACATTACCTTAAGACCACTCTCTGCCTCTCAGTCAGGTGGATTCACTCTGTCTCCTGAGGATCGTCTGTAGCCTCGCTGACCTGCAGCCTCTCCAGCACTCTCTCTATGTTCTAACTATCATACAGGGGTATATATACAACTGAATCAGAAGGGGGGACGTTTTACACTGTTGTGGGAACGTCTGGTGTGGACCTGTTCCCAGCTGATTCAGCCAACTTGGTCAGCACATCAGGGCGTCAGCTGCCCATGACGTACAAAAAAGCAATCAAAATGAATCATTAGGTTGTTTGCTAAGACTATCAGGACTTTTCATAAACAGGAAACAAGCTGACTAGGGTGGAACCAGATGATATTTCAATTAACTCTAGCTGAATCTGAGGTACAGGCTGATCTTACCCGGACATTCCCATGGTTAGTCATGGGTGCACTCTCCCGGCGTTACAATTAGAGCATCGCAGCCTCTCCCCCCAGTGAATCATCGCCCCCCGCCGTGGGGTCTGACGCTTCTGTCGTAGCCTGAGTGCCTAAATCATGGATGATTTCAGGTGTCGGTGAATGTTCTGGGTCTACCATGGCCACAGCACCTGGAAGCACTGAGAATTCGTTATCCTCTAGGTGCAAAACCGGGGTCTCCAAACGTTGAGACATAGCTCTGGTTAACATACAACTGACTGGTCTGCCGTCAGCTGTACACACCCCCATCCCTCTCTAATCAACTTACTCAAAGACCTAGACCTTGGTGAGTGTGATTGAAAGGTCGATTGATTGATTGGTGAAGATTAAGCCACCACAAGAGGTGGCACGGGCATGAATGTTTGGAGTGAATGTGGTCTTTGGTCGTGTAACATCTTCATGTGTCTCTGGGCCTTTGTCAGATTGTAAGGTGATGTATTCTGTATTTCCTAAATTATATGTTGTGTAATATATAGGGGGGCAGTCAGCCGTATTTTCTTTTAATTTCCTGTGAAATGATTCAGTATTAATACTGATAATAGTAAAGTCATAAAATATAATTATCTATCAATATAATTACATCATCTTGAATATTTAATAAAAGAATAATCTCTTCCAAGACATTTTTTAGTTATCTTATATTGATAACCTAAGATCTGTGATTCATTTTTTGACTTGCACTAAAGAAAAAGCGTGAATGGAAAGCACTTCGAAGATTACTTACTAATGATTACGACCTGACAATTAATGTTAAGTTTACATCTTTGTAGTTTCTTAACTGTTAACACCAATTATAGAGATGAGTTCCATTAATTGTTTTGTAAACTTCTGAATGGATGGTAGCAGCTCTAGCTCTATCCACTCTAGCTCTTCCTACTCCTTATACTCGTCTTTCTCCACCTCTTTTGTTCCTAAGTCTTCCCTTCATCCCATTTTCTCTCCTTCTAAACTTTCCCTTTCACCTCCTGACTCTCTTCCCACCTCCTCCCCACTCTCCCTCTTTGCTCCTTTGTTTCTTTTCTAATTTCCGATTCGTTTCTTGGGGTCCAGAGAGGTCCGGGTCAGCGGGTGTCGATCACGTGTAGGGTCATCGCCTCTGTGATGGTGGTGAGCGAGGTGGTAGGCTGCATCCTGGTGCCTCTAGTCGACTCCATACTGTGGCTCGACCTCTTGTATTATCTCTCCTACATCAAGCTTGCAGTCACCTGTATCAAATACTTCCCCCAGGTGAGTTAATAATGGCCAGGTGAGTCAGTAACAGCCAGGTGAGTCATTTAGATGTAACACGCTTGAGTCCTCTGGTTTAGTCATTGAATGCACTTGTGTTCTGTTCTGTTTTATTTATAAATTGTGAAAAATGTTTCCTTAAGTCATGACTTTGAGAGTTTATAAGGCTAGACCAGACTATCTGAGTGCTGGCCACTCTAGGCAGGGTCAACGGTCTATGCTTAGTCACGGGTCAAGGCCAAGGGTCTAGGAGTGGTCAAGGGTCTAGGCGTGGTCAGAGGTCTAAGCGTAGTCAAGGGTGAAGGCATAGGCAATGGTCGAGACGTAATGATAGCATAGTCTCCCAGTGTTAGCAGTGTCTCAGTGTTAGCAATGTCACCCAGTGTTAGCAGTGTCTCCCAGTGTTAGCAGTGTCACCCAGTGTTAGCAGTGTCTCCCAGTGTTAGCAGTGTCTCCCAGTGTTAGCAGTGTCTCAGTGTTAGCAATGTCACCCAGTGTTAGCAGTGTCTCCCAGTGTTAGCAGTGTCTCCCAGTGTTAGCAGTGTCACCCAGTGTTAGCAGTGTCTCCCAGTGTTAGCAGTGTCTCCCAGTGTTAGCAGTGTCTCAGTGTTAGCAATGTCACCCAGTGTTAGCAGTGTCTCCCAGTGTTAGCAGTGTCTCAGTGTTAGCAATGTCACCCAGTGTTAGCAGTGTCTCCCAGTGTTAGCAGTGTCACCCAGTGTTAGCAGTGTCACCCAGTGTTAGCAGTGTCTCCCAGTGTTAGCAGTGTCTCCCAGTGTTAGCAGTGTCTCCCAGTGTTAGCAGTGTCACCCAGTGTTAGCAGTGTCACCCAGTGTTAGCAGTGTCTCCCAGTGTTAGCAGTGTCACCCAGTGTTAGCAATGTCACCCAGTGTTAGCAGTGTCACCCAGTGTTAGCAGTGTCACCCAGTGTTAGCAATGTCACCCAGTGTTAGCAATGTCACCCAGTGTTAGCAGTGTCACCCAGTGTTAGCAGTGTCACCCAGTATTAGCAGTGTCACCCAGTGTTAGCAGTGTCACCCAGTGTTAGCAGTGTAACCCAGTGTTAGCAGTGTCTCCCAGTGTTAGCAGTGTCACCCAGTGTTAGCAGTGTCTCCCAGTGTTAGCAGTGTCTCCCAGTGTTAGCAATGTCTCCCAGTGTTAGCAGTGTCACCCAGTGTTAGCAGTGTAACCCAGTGTTAGCAGTGTCACCCAGTGTTAGCAATGTCACCCAGTGTTAGCAGTGTCACCCAGTGTTAGCAGTGTAACCCAGTGTTAGCAGTGTCTCCCAGTGTTAGCAGTGTCACCCAGTGTTAGCAGTGTCTCCCAGTGTTAGCAGTGTCTCCCAGTGTTAGCAATGTCTCCCAGTGTTAGCAGTGTCACCCAGTGTTAGCAGTGTAACCCAGTGTTAGCAATGTCTCCCAGTGTTAGCAGTGTCACCCAGTGTTAGCAGTGTCACCCAGTGTCACCCAGTGTTAGCAGTGTCACCCACTGTTAGCAGTGTCTCAGTGTTAGCAGTGTCACCCAGTGTTAGCAGTGTCTCCCAGTGTTAGCAGTGTCTCCCAGTGATAGCAGTGTATCCCAGTTTTAGCAGTGTCTCCCAGTGTTAGCAGTGTCACCCAGTGTTAGCAGTGTCACCCAACGTTAGCAGTGTCACCCAGTGTTAGCAATGTCACCCAGTGTTAGCAGTGTCACCCAGTGTTAGCAGTGTAACCCAGTGTTAGCAGTGTAACCCAGTGTTAGTAGTGTCACCCAGTGTTAGCAGTGTCTCCCAGTGTTAGCAGTGTCTCCCAGTGTTAGCAGTGTCACCCAGTGTTAGCAGTGTCACCCAGTGTTAGCAATGTCACCCAGTGTTAGCAGTGTCACCCAGTGTTAGCAGTGTAACCCAGTGTTAGCAATGTCTCCCAGTGTTAGCAGTGTCACCCAGTGTTAGCAGTGTCACCCAGCGTCACCCAGTGTTAGCAGTGTCACCCACTGTTAGCAGTGTCTCAGTGTTAGCAGTGTCACCCAGTGTTAGCAGTGTCTCCCAGTGTTAGCAGTGTCTCCCAGTGATAGCAGTGTATCCCAGTTTTAGCAGTGTCTCCCAGTGTTAGCAGTGTCACCCAGTGTTAGCAGTGTCACCCAGTGTTAGCAGTGTCACCCAGTGTTAGCAGTGTCACCCAGTGTTAGCAGTGTCACCCAGTGTTAGCAGTGTCACCCAGTGTTAGCAGTGTCACCCAGTGTTAGCAGTGTCTCCCAGTGTTAGCAGTGTCTCCCAGTGTTAGCAGTGTCTCCCAGTGTTAGCAGTGTCACCCAGTGTTAGCAGTGTCACCCAGTGTTAGCAGTGTCACCCAGTGTTAGCAGTGTCACCCAGTGTTAGCAGTGTCTCCCAGTGTTAGCAGTGTCTCCCAGTGTTAGCAGTGTCACCCAGTGTTAGCAGTGTCACCCAGTGTTAGCAGTGTCTCCCAGTGTTAGCAGTGTCTCCCAGTGTTAGCAGTGTCTCCCAGTGTTAGCAGTGTCTCCCAGTGTTAGCAGTGTCACCCAGTGTTAGCAGTGTCTCCCAGTGTTAGCAGTGTCTCCCAGTGTTAGCAGTGTCACCCAGTGTTAGCAGTGTCACCCAGTGTTAGCAGTGTCACCCAGTGTTAGCAGTGTCACCCAGTGTTAGCAGTGTCTCCCAGTGTTAGCAGTGTCACCCAGTGTTAGCAGTGTCTCCCAGTGTTAGCAGTGTCACCCAGTGTTAGCAGTGTCTCCCAGTGTTAGCAGTGTCACCCAGTGTTAGCAGTGTCACCCAGTGTTAGCAGTGTCACCCAGTGTTAGCAATGTCTCCCAGTGTTAGCAGTGTCACCCAGTGTTAGCAGTGTCTCCCAGTGTTAGCAGTGTCACCCAGTGTTAGCAGTGTCACCCAGTGTTAGCAGTGTCACCCAGTGTTAGCAGTGTCTCCCAGTGTTAGCAGTGTCACCCAGTGTTAGCAGTGTCACCCAGTGTTAGCAGTGTCACCCAGTGTTAGCAGTGTCTCCCAGTGTTAGCAGTGTCTCCCAGTGTTAGCAGTGTCACCCAGTGTTAGCAGTGTCTCCCAGTGTTAGCAGTGTCACCCAGTGTTAGCAGTGTCTCCCAGTGTTAGCAGTGTCACCCAGTGTTAGCAGTGTCACCCAGTGTTAGCAATGTCTCCCAGTGTTAGCAGTGTCACCCAGTGTTAGCAGTGTAACCCAGTGTTAGCAGTGTCACCCAGTGTTAGCAGTGTCTCCCAGTGTTAGCAGTGTCACCCAGTGTTAGCAGTGTCACCCAGTGTTAGCAATGTTAGCAGTGTCCCAGTGTTAGCAGTGTCACCCAGTGTTAGCAGTGTCACCCAGTGTTAGCAGTGTCACCCAGTGTTAGCAGTGTCACCCAGTGTTAGCAGTGTCAGTGTCCCAGTGTTAGCAGTGTCACCCAGTGTTAGCAGTGTCTCCCAGTGTTAGCAGTGTCTCCCAGTGTTAGCAGTGTCTCCCAGTGTTAGCAGTGTCTCCCAGTGTTAGCAGTGTCTCCCAGTGTTAGCAGTGTCTCCCAGTGTTAGCAGTGTCACCCAGTGTTAGCAGTGTCTCCCAGTGTTAGCAGTGTCACCCAGTGTTAGCAGTGTCACCCAGTGTTAGCAGTGTCACCCAGTGTTAGCAGTGTCACCCAGTGTTAGCAGTGTCACCCAGTGTTAGCAGTGTCTCCCAGTGTTAGCAGTGTCACCCAGTGTTAGCAGTGTCACCCAGTGTTAGCAGTGTCACCCAGTGTTAGCAGTGTCACCCAGTGTTAGCAGTGTCACCCAGTGTTAGCAGTGTCACCCAGTGTTAGCAGTGTCACCCAGTGTTAGCAGTGTCACCCAGTGTTAGCAATGTCACCCAGTGTTAGCAGTGTCTCCCAGTGTTAGCAGTGTCTCCCAGTGTTAGCAGTGTCACCCAGTGTTAGCTGTGTCTCCCAGTGTCACCCAGTGTTAGCAGTGTCTCCCAGTGTTAGCAGTGTCTCCCAGTGTTAGCAGTGTCTCCCAGTGTTAGCAGTGTCTCCCAGTGTTAGCAGTGTCTCCCAGTGTTAGCAGTGTCCCAGTCCCAGTGTTAGCAGTGTCACCCAGTGTTAGCAGTGTCACCCAGTGTTAGCAGTGTCTCCCAGTGTTAGCAGTGTCTCCCAGTGTTAGCAGTGTCTCCCAGTGTTAGCAGTGTCTCAGTGTTAGCAGTGCACCCAGTATTAGCAGTGTCTCCCAGTGTTAGCAGTGTCTCCCAGTGTTAGCAGTGTCACCTAGTGTTAGCAGTGTCACCCAGTGTTAGCAGTATCACCCAGTGTTAGCAGTGTCTCCCAGTGTGTCAGTGTTAGCAGTGTCTCCCAGTGTTAGCAGTGTCACCCAGTGTTAGCAGTGTCACCCAGTGTTAGCAGTGTCACCCAGTGTTAGCAGTGTCACCCAGTGTTAGCAGTGTCACCCAGTGTTAGCAGTGTCACCCAGTGTTAGCAGTGTCTCCCAGTGTTAGCAGTGTCACCCAGTGTTAGCAGTGTCTCCCAGTGTTAGCAGTGTCACCCAGTGTTAGCAGTGTCACCCAGTGTTAGCAGTGTCACCCAGTGTTAGCAGTGTCTCCCAGTGTTAGCAGTGTCACCCAGTGTTAGCAGTGTCACCCAGTGTTAGCAGTGTCACCCAGTGTTAGCAGTGTCTCCCAGTGTTAGCAGTGTCTCCCAGTGTTAGCAGTGTCACCCAGTGTTAGCAGTGTCAGTGTTAGCAGTGTCACCCAGTGTTAGCAGTGTCACCCAGTGTTAGCAGTGTCACCCAGTGTTAGCAGTGTCACCCAGTGTTAGCAGTGTCCCCAGTGTTAGCAGTGTCACCCAGTGTTAGCAGTGTCACCCAGTGTTAGCAGTGTCACCCAGTGTTAGCAGTGTCACCCAGTGTTAGCAGTGTCTCCCAGTGTTAGCAGTGTCACCCAGTGTTAGCCTCCCAGTGTTAGCAGTGTCACCCAGTGTTAGCAGTGTCTCCCAGTGTTAGCAGTGTCTCCCAGTGTTAGCAGTGTCACCCAGTGTTAGCA